AAATTTACAGGAGTTGAGGTTGATTGGTTGTTCCCGACTCAATGATGCTGCAATTGACCTAGTTTGCGAACATATGCGCTTTTTGCAAGTATTGGAGCTATCGACCAATCCGCTAGTCACTAATTCTGCGCTGGCAACCATTGGTGGATCTTTAAACCAATTGGAGTACCTCTCGCTCGATAGGTTAGTTTCAACTACATTTCTTCTTCTTCTTCGAGTATAAATAAAATCAGATTAATTTAAAATTTTAAGATTGGGATTTTATTATGTAAAAAGTATCATATTGTTCACTTTTACATTTGTCGTTTTTACCATTTAATTATACTATGTAAGACGGCCTAACTTTAGTTAGAAAAGTTTGTTGGAGACAAGTTTCACAGATTTTAGACTGCAGATAGATATATTTTTTTAGGAGGTTGTGATATAGGGATAAATGCAGATAACAAAACGACACTCGTAAGGAGTGTGGTCATGTATATCATCATTTGACTGTGTTCTTCCTTGACATTGGTCCACCTATTTGTTGCTTGAGGCTGGTTGGGTGCTTTAAATTGCGAGGCTCTCCTATTGGTCTGTGGAACCGTTTCATATAATAGTTTCGGTTTACCTCCAGCCCAGGGATCTACATCACACATGTTCGTATAGAAAAAATAATACTTTCAACAAGCTTTCTAATTGTGTTGGAAATATGCAAATAATTAAATAACGTTATTATCTTTTTTAAAAATAGGTAGCATATGAAGTCTGACACATTCTGCTAATAAAGATACTTGGCACCAAATAATCGAATGCTCGAAAGTCCTTATGGCCTTTTTGTACTATTGATCAATCATTTGCGAGCTCAATTACTCCATCCTTTAAGTCCTATCAAATGAACATGGGTGATGCTTTCAATAAATTCTAAAGGCTGCTCAGGAAAATCCGATGAAATGGGAAGCAAATGATTAAATAGCATTAAAATTCCTTCTATTCTTTAAAATTCATTATTAACTCATTAACAAATCTTTTGCAGTCGTAATTACTCCACCCTTTAAGTCCTGTTGAATAATCAAAGCTGTTGAGTTCGATAAGCTCTAAATCTGTTTTGAAAATCATAAAAAATTAAATGATAAAGTAGTAGTAAAGTTATTTCCATTCGTTAAAAAATCGTTATTTTTTATTGAAGTCATTTTTATCTGACCTTAAGAATATATTTGTATGTCGTTTTATTGATTTTGAAAATATGATTAACGGCTCCTTTAAAAGGTCTTGAATTCAAAAATTCACTCTGATTAATCAGTTTCAAAATCATCTAACTGAACTGTTGTCCCATGCTTATGATTTAAGGTATTGGGTAATTGCCATTTACCCTTGTAGATGTGCCTCTATCACAAATGAAGGCCTCAGATCATTGAATGGTCTTTTAAATCTTCAAGTACTGACCCTGCGATGGTGTTCTCTCTTGACCGATGAAGGTCTTCTCGACATCCTCAAACTCAAACGACTGAGGTTCCTCAGTTTGGCCGGTGGGTTTTTGAAGTCTGTAAAAAAATTTACCTCCATTGTTGCAGATTATAATAAGATATTCGGTATTCCCTTAGGTTGCAAGGGTTTCACAACTAACGGCTTACAAACACTAACCGCAATGAAGAACTTACACAAACTTGAAATTACAAATATCAGTAATTCCCGAGAATGCAAGAAGTATTTGTCAAAAATTATGCCTAATTGCTGTATTCTGAATTGAAAACAAACAGTACCTTCTTTGTCTTTCTAATGTATTAATTAATTATGCACAGAAAACAACTTTTTGCATTAAGATTTGTTTTTTTACTTAACTGTAAAATTCTTGTGAACTCAGAATATCCTGAAATGTATTGAATGAGGTGGAAGGCAAATTCTGTGGGACACGTCATCGCATGCCTGAACGCCAGGATTGGGAGGTGCGACCGTACAAACAGTGACCAATCATTAACCTCTGTTTAACCTAATCCGCCATCCTGATCATGATTAAGCTTTCTGCGTGTGCACTTTATCCGTAATATACTCACTGAATAGACGTGCTCCGTGCTACACGTCAGTTTCCTTTATAGCTGGGCTATAGCTTAGCTGGTTCTGGGAGATCCTTTCATAGCTGGGCTATAGCTTAGCTGGTTCTGGGAGTCTTTCATAGCTGGGCTATAGCTTAGCTGGTTCTGGGAGTCAGCCTATAGCTGGGCTATAGCTTAGCTTATTCTGGGAGTCTAGCGTAGCTGGGGTATAGCTTAGCTGGTTCTGGGAGTCTAGCTAGATGTGGGCTATAGCTTAGTTGGTTCTGGGAGTCTAGCTAGATGAGTTTCCCTTATAGCTAGGCTATAGCTTAGCTTGTTCTGGGAGTCTAGCTAGATGTTGGAAATCTTGCCATCGAGATTTCTGAGTCAGTCAGGCTTTACTAAGGTGTTTAGCTGGTTCTGGGAGTCTAGCTAGATGTAGGAGGATCTCCCATTGAGATTTCTGAGTCAGTCAGGCTTTACTAGCGTAGCCAGAGATTTCTGAGTTAGTCAGGCTTTACTAGAGTAGCAATATTTCTGAGTCAGTCAGGCTTTACTAGCGTAGCAATCCGTGGAGCTATAGCTTAGCTGTTCTGGGAGTCTAGCTAGGTGTTGGAGAATCTGCCATAGAGATTTCGGTCAGGCTTTACTAGCGTAGCAATCCGCTACAATGCAATCCGGTCAGGCTTTACTAAGGTAGCAATCCGTTACAATTCTCAACCGGTCTGGCTTTACTAAGGTAGCAATCCGCTACAAGTCTTTAACCAAGGCTTTACGAAGGTAGCAATCCGCTACATGTTCGAGAATAAGGTAGCAATCCGCTACAATTCTAATTTAATTTAGTCGCCGATAGTGTTTTCCCTCCAAAAAATATAAATATATGCATATATTAGTTCGAGGGGAGTATATTAATTTATTCCTAACCCTCAATATGTGTTGTGCTCAATTTTAATGGAATTATTATGGATGTACGCATAAATTTGCAGGATCTCTGAAGTAGATAAGATTTACAAGTAAAACTTAAAGTACTTGACATTAAATGAGCTTTTTATGACAAATTGTAATAATTATAGTGAGATTTATAATATTATAGTAATCAGGACCAAAAATGGTAAAATTTCAATTTTTCTGAGTGAGAGAGAGAGAGAGAGATGTAAATCCGATAGCAGTTCATTCAGACGGTGTTTCGATCAATATGAACTTCTATTATTCAAGTGTGAAAATGTTACTGTTCTGGCTGATTGATGAAAAATAGCTAGTATGTACAGTTTTGGCACTATGCTTATTTATAAACAGACTAACAATACAGCTAAAGAGCTTCACACAACATCGGCATTATGGTTTACTCCGCGAGACCTAGCTCTTATCACGCTTTGTTTCTAATGATCAAACCAGATTTGGTGCCATTAAAAGGTCAATAAGGATGAGAGTTTGTGAATTTGACAAGAATTCAGAAACAAATTCCTAGTTTTTTCATACCTGCTATGAAAACAAATATCCTATCACTATGGCTCCAACCCCTTTCACCTTATGGAACCTGAAGTTAAGTTCATTTCCTTATCCCAGCTTCTATTTGGCCACTATTCTTCATGATTTATTCAAGGTCATTCGGGTGCTGGTGAGCACTTAAGTACTGACTGGTAATATTTCTGCTTAGTCTACTAGCTACTTTATAGTAGCAACGAGGATGGTAGTTGCATTAGGCAGTAACTTAAAACATGATCTATGCTTGTCATCGACTTTGGGAACACCTGCACGTTATGCAAACTTTTATATCTTGGTAATTAACCGCGTCTTACTTCATTCTGCACATGCAATTTCAAATCAAAACAAAGTATCTGAACACATTGAAAAATGTGAGCGATTTCATTTCAGAAAAGTTGGATATCTACGGGTTGTAATATTTTTTGAATGAAGCTTTCCGCGTGTTTTTCAAGTGGCAAATTCAAAGATTCTGTTTTAACTATTTTACTAATCAAATTAATGTATTATTGGAATTGTACAAGTTTAAAAGAGAAGTTGCGTCTATTAAAGAGGGGTGGGGGGTGGGGAGAAGGAGGGGTATTTGTTGCAATAGCCTAACTTTAAGTAACATCAGTTTACCACTCTCCAACCGAAGTGCGATAGACTTATCTCCACGTGGTGCACTCTGGCAACGCATGCTCATTCGGCAAAAAGGTCTATTAACCGGCAGTTGACTTCAAACTACCATGACCCCACTGTATGCCAAATTCGACAACTTCCACAGTACTATCCTCGACTTTTTTTCTACCTCTGTGTCTGTCTCTTTTGCATCTTTAAAACTTTCTGTTCCCCCCCCCCCCACTCAAATATTTTTCACTTTGATATTTCTTCCTCTATGTGAAGCCTGAAGTCAACTAAAGGACCAATGGTAACTATCAAAACGCCTGCCATTTGATATAAATGAATGTAACATCAGTTTACCACTATTCAAGCGAAGTTTCGTTCTGGAGTATCTTGAAGGCAACAAGTACGAAGAACATGTGCTTCTGAGGAAATCCACCGTTTAGCATAGCTAACCTACATATTTTATTCTGATTCCTCAGGTTATAATGGTATTGAAAGTTAAATGCTAAATTGTCTTAATCGTATGCTTAATATGAATAACTCTTCCAAATGTTTCATCGTTGATAAAAATAAATAATTTACCTGTGATAGTGAATAACCTGACAATAAACTTTAGGGGGCGTCATTCGAACTGAAGAAAAGAACACGTAGACCTTCTGGAAGGAGAACTTGACGAATTTAGTGAAACTTCTTTTCCAGCTGGTAATACCTATCTAGGCCATCGAATTCGTTTTTCAATCAAAATCGCCAATCGTGCATTTGGATATTTCAATTTATTGCGGCTAGTCAAGTTGAAATCGACTTTTATTGTTTTGTCTTA